GGACAATGGAGCTTAGGCCCAACAAAAGCTAAACCCAATATCTATCATAATTTAAACCCTTCCCAAAGTCTTAACCCAATACCCAAGCCCACTATTCCTCTTAATATTGTCCCAAATCGTATGGTTGCCCCTGTGCACTCCCAAAACAAACTGTCCCCTTCAAGAGGCTCATAGATGCCGAAGTACAAAAAAACTTTAAGTGTATGGGTCATATGGTCGGTTGCTCTCAAGTCCATAACCCATGAGTTTGCAAAGGTTGTACCACAGACATTTAATCCAATAGAGGATTGAAACTCACTTGAATACGCCAATGAACAAGTACCTGAGGGTTTGTCAAGGTTGTTGATAAGAGATCTCACCCTCTCGACCTCTTCTTGGTTGAGACCTCCTATCTTCTGAGGTGCTGTTTCATTCTGCTATATCCTAGCTACATGGGCCTGTCCATTATTCTTTGAGTGTTCTCTTTTTTGTCCCCCTTCTCAACTTGGAGGTTTTCTGTGAAGCTTCCAACATTGTTCACGGGTATGACGTGTTTTCCTACAATAATTGCACCTCAAGCTATCCTTGTAATTACGGCTCTGAGCTTTTGTTTGGCCAGACCTCCCATTTTCAACAACTGGTACTCTTTCCACATTCATGTCTGAATTTTTGCGACCATCATCCACCATGGCAGAGCTATCCATGCTCTGTGGTTTAAGCATCAGGCCCCTTCTGCTTTCTTCTACTTGAATCAATGCTACCACCTCATTAAAACATGGAATTTCCCGCTTGCTAAGAATTTGGATCCTCACTTGGTCAAATTTTGGATTGAGTCCAACAAGAAAATCATAGACTCTATCTTGTTCTATGAAGTCATTTATAACAACTGCATCCTCAGGGCATTTTGTTCTAATCACCCTATAACGATCAAGTTCTTGCCATAAAGATTTCAATTGATTGGCATATTCAGTAACCGTTTTACTCCCTTGTTTGGCAGCGATTGTCTTCATTTTATCTTCGTATACTTGGGCAACATCTCAAGCTTTAGAATAAGTCTGTTGAATTGTGTCCCAAATATCCTTGGCAGTAGCCAAGAACATACATGTATCACTGATTTCAGGAGTCATAGAGTTCAACAGCCATGCCATAATCATGGAATGTTCTTCATCCCAAGCATCAAACCCGGGATCTTCTGGTTTCGGTCCCATACCTGTGAGATGGCTGATCTTTCCTTTTCCTTTTAGCACGACGCGAACAAGTTGAGACCATTTAAGGTAATTCTTTCCATCCAGCATATAAGCAGATTGGATATTTTGCAATTCCCCAGATTGTTGGGATCGAACAATCTTCTCTGATTGTGTTGTAGTAGTCATCTCTACAACCTTTGACCATCTCCACAAAAAGACACGATCTCTAGGCAATTAAGGCATATCGCACAAAGCAGAATTCAGTATCAGTGAAATCTGAAAAAAAATTGCAGGCAATGAAGGGAAGTAATCAGATCTAATCAGAACAGATTCGGTCAGAAGAAAATTTCCTAGAAACTTGTAAGCCTTACGGCTCTGATGCCATGTGGGTAAATGAGAATAAATTTTCTATATATCATTCAATTACAAACAGGAGCCTTTATAGGCTAGTGCAACAAGATAAAAAGGAAACAAATAAATATCCCCACCGAATCAGGGATGATAATTTATCTAATCCCAATCCCACAAAATAAGGGATTTAGAGTCCTATGATTTATATTATTTTTCAACTAAATAAGAAACTAAATAATATATATTATTTTCCACAGTTACAAATGGGGGGTTATAAATAGAATAGTTATAGCCTATAGGGAGTCTGGGATATGAAAAAGATTGTGAGTGAAGTCAGAGTAGGAGAGTACAGGCCCTCTCAAATGGCCTCTATTGTTTTTTTTTTTTTTTTTTTTGAGTTGTAATTTCCATTCCATCAAAATAAAAAAGCTTCTTCCCACATTTTCTTCAGCTCTTTCTTGCTGCTACAGGTTGGATTCTATCACATCATCATCCTCGTCACTATTGGTTTCTTCTCATCCTTTGTTTTTATTCTCACTAGCAATCATGTATTCTCTTTCCCTTTCCCTTCTTTCCGTTTAAAAAAAAGTTGAAAACAAAAAACACACAAGATTCTAGATTGTAAAAGTAGCTCAAAAAGCTAAGGCAAACAACAAAACATCTGAAAAATGTAAGAAAAACAACAAAATATTTGAAAAATGCAAGACAAATATATGAACACCTTAGTCCAATTAAGCTTTGTCCTAAGGCATAAGCCTCAGTAGGTCGAGGTGCAAGCCTTGGTGAATTGAGGTGTAAGCCTCACATATGGGCCTTAAGATGTAAGCTTCGAGATGGGACTTGAGGCTTAAGCATCAAATAGATATTTTAGAAAATGGTTATATATTATAGTAGTTCACTGCAGGTGGCATCACTTTCTTTTGGAATTGAACATGATGCTTTCAGCAGCACCTAAAATCTAGTATTTGGTAATGTTGTAGATCTGTGGGCTAATATGATTTAACCTTTCAAAATGATTTTTTTCATTTGTTTAATATGGTTCCCTGGATCCAGATTGACCTTCTTGAGCCTGTTTCCCATTTTCTGGATGCTGCTCGCATAAATTTGGCACCAGAAAATTTGATGGTCACTGAAGAGCACAAGGCTGTGAATTTCTATTGTGTTCCTCTGCAGGTAACTTGTGTAGACATGAATTACTTTGAAAAACTAGTTGTATTTTTCACTTTTTAGTCCATGGTTGTAGGTAGTTTGTCATCATTTCAAAATTTTCTAGAATGATGCTGGCTGTGCTATTCAATTGTTTTCCTTATGCAAAGTTAATCCTGTAATCTCTTTGAAAATTCTGTTGCAACATATGAGACTTCGGGTCTGATTCAAAGATATTAATAACTTGATGACAAAACAAAGTGCTTCAGAAAAAAAATCGTTTTAGATGTTCAACTATTTTTCTCTTTGTTACTAAGTGATCCTTTCTTCCCATTCTCTTTTAGGAGTTCACTCCCGATGCACAAAGGTATGATGTCGTATGGGTCCAGTGGTGTATAGGACATCTTTCAGATGAAGATTTCATATCGTTCTTCAAGAGAGCGAAGGTGATAATATACTAATACCGTTTGTATTTTTGGATGATATCCTGAAAATTTTCTCATCTTTGATAGTTCACGAGTCAATCTGTCTGGTGGTATTGCTTGTCATTTAGGTGTTGGTTCTTTATAATTTCTCAAACTAATTGCTACGTGTTCAACTGCAAAGATTGGTGTAAAAACTATGCTGCTTCTTTGGGCCCATGAAGCTTTTCCAGGAGGGGTAGTTTCATAGGTGAAGCATGATGTACTACTAATATTTGTCCACAAAACTATGTTTCTCATTACATGATGTATTAATAATCACTCTATCGACTATTCTCGCTCTGACCACGAAGTTCAATAACTGCATATCTGGGAAATTCTTATTACATCTTGCTATAAATAATCATGTGTTACAATTCTAACAAATGGTTCTATTCCAGAGTGGTCTCAAACCCGGTGGCTTTTTTGTTCTCAAGGAAAACGTTGCAAGACAAGGTAATGATTCTATAATTCCTTGAACTTCTGCTTCAGTCATAAGACCTCTCAGTCTCTTCATTAAACTTCTAATGAAATGGATGATTCAATGCTTATGTTGTTCCATATATGTTGAATGATTGTCTTTAGCGTCAAATTTCAGGTTGCTGTCCCTGATTTTTTATTTTTTTAAAACTTTAATTGGCTTTGTGAAAACTGCCTTTTTTGCATTATGAATACTCACCAAGATACTAACATGTGTTGATTAGGATTTGTTTTGGATAAACAAGACAAGAGTGTTACCAGATCAGACTTGTACTTCAGGCAGCTCTTCAATCAGTGTGGACTTCACATCTGCAAAATGAAGGTATTACCATGTCTTTATAATATATACTAAGTATGATTGTGTCGTTGGGTTACTGTAGTCAGGTTCGAGTTACCAAAACCTCAGAAGCACATATACTTGCAAGCTTATTGTGTTTCCATATCGATACATATCCAAGTCTCTCTATTACATACTGGATATGTATTTTTTAGTTATTTTATATTTTTAATATTTTTAAAATTTTCGATATGTATTGAATACCTTATGACAAGTAAAGAAGAAGAGTTTTATTTGATTTGTGGTCTTTTAAAATCCCTAATTATTGGCAGTAGATGATTAAATAATTTTAACTTAATAGACAACTATTGTTATTATTAATAATTTATTGAAAATAGATAATATTTATTAATTAACAATTTCAAAGAAAGTAAACGTGTTTTAAGGTACTAAATAAGTAACTATATAGTTTATACGTGTTGTTATAGCTGTACAGTGTTAAATAATGACAACTAGATTAATTAGTTGACAACTAGAGTTTTATTATTGGAAACACACACTAATATTAAATCTTTTAATACATTTAAAGTTTTGTTAATAATTGACATATATAGTTTTATTATTGGGAATTGATAATGGTATTAAAACATTGAATACATTTATGTGCATGTCATAATTATTTTATTTTATTTAATTTATTATTATTTTTTTTAAAGTTATGTCAGCATAATAGTATCATATCGTTTTCGAATTATGTTCCCGACTCCGTACTTCTTAGACCAAAACTAGCTCCCAAAACTAGCTCAATCTGAAAGAACACTGTTCATTTCTTGTTGCTTAAAGTATGCAAATACCATTAAATATAGTCCAGCTTAAAACCTTGAGTACATTTAAAATTTACGTGAAATACAATTGTCTCAGGACCAAAAAGGATTTCCCAATGGACTATTTGCTGTGAAGATGTATGCATTGGCACCCGAGTTGCCAAAGAAAGTTTACAAGTCCAAATCTAAGAGGCAAGTTAATAGACCTGGCATCATCAAATGATGACATTCTCTTGTTTGTCTTTTACCGAGATGCACTTTATAGAGATCTTCCCTAGTTTGCACTTAATCTTGATTTTTTTTTTTTTTTTTGGGGATTAATTTATGTGATTGAATTATGTATATATGCAGTCAATTTTGGGGTTGTAACATTGCTTCCCGTAAGTGGAGTAGAAAAATTGGACCATTTGCTCTATGACATTGTTACAACTACTAATTTTCTATGTGCTATTGTGTAGAATCGCGGGCACAAGATTTAAAATGAATGTCAATGTATTTGCTTGCTGGCTATTCACACCTCTCCCATCTTCTTCTAAAAGAATTGCATGTCATCATTTCTTCTGTGCTCATGGGGTGTGTGTGCTAGTGTAAATTTTGTAGTACATCCAATATTTTGTTTGCACTTTTCTTATATATCTGAATTTGTTCTAGTAATGCTGCAAATTATAATCCTCTGTGATTCACATGTTTGACACCATATTAGATAGATGATCCCAGCTGGGTTGATTACCGCTAGATAGATCTGTGCACATCAGCCCCATTTCAATTGCATCTGTGGCTTCACGAACAATGTGCCCTGTCCTTTTCATTCTCTTGTCAATAACATTCTCCAAGTTATCGGGGTAATTTATTTTCACCCACTCAACAAAACCAGTTTCACCCCTTTCAAAGTCTTCCAGTGGCCTCCTATTCGATACCATCTCTAATATGAACACCCCGAACTTGTATATTTCTGGAATGATTGAAAAAAAAAAAAAAAAAATCTGATAAAATTAATTAAAAAAAAAAAAAAAAAAAATCTGATAAAATTACTCTTTAGGATGCACAAGTGGAAGAATAGTGATTACTTACTTTTTGTGCTGCTATTATGATGATCAAATTTTAACCTTGATATCAAGGGTTCTCCTGATGACAGCCGGATGTTTCTTGTTTTGAGGTCATAGCCGACTTCAGGCCATTCTTCATGCAAATAGCATGTTCCTGATGCAATTCCTATAAATGCTTTTACCCTTTGCTTCCATGGAGGAGCTGACCTTGATAACCATGTTTCAAGGTTTCCTCCATCAATCCATTTAGTGACAATTGCCCGAAATCTGCGATTATCACACCAACCAAGTACGGGGACTATATTTTTGTGGTGTAACTGAACAAGAATCTTGCATTGTTCTACAAATCTCCTTCTGCTTTCCGTCGATATAATTTCCCAGTATATCTCAATTTTTACTTCGTTTCCGTCTCTTAGGATCCCTCTGTAAATACCACTTGTGGAACTCTTTGCCACCAAATTCCTTTTGGACAGCCCATTTGTTGCTGCCTTGAGAGTAGATGGTGTGAACTTGTATTTTCTTTGAAGGAACTTCGGTAGAAAATCCGGTCTCCAAAAACACAGCCATCCGAACCAAACAATAGTTACCACCACAGAGATTGGAAAACCAACTAATAGAAGTACAGCCTTAACCCTGAACTTTTTTTGATTCGGAAGAAGACCCGAATGAATGAAACTCGTAGTATTAAACCGTTTGAAGAAGTTCTTGTCCGAGATTTTACACTCAGAGAAGTGATTATATGAAAGGCTTAGGAATGTGAGGTTTGGCAGGTGATCGAAATTCTGCACAGGCACATCCCCAGAAAGTTCATTGTGGCTCAAATCAAGTTGTTGAATTTGCGAACAGTTAAAGACCTCAAATGGAAAGTTACCTTTCAATGAACTGTTGCTAAGATCAATGGATAGTATGGTTAAGGGACAGTATTTCCAGAAGAAAGTGAATGATAAATAAAGTGGTGCTATTTTTGGTTGGCTGTGAAGATCTATTTTCGGAAAGGATTCGACGCAGTTCGGATTGTTGGAAATGTTACACAAGTGGCTAGCAACAATTGTAGACTTGAAAATTTCATGAAGATCAAAAGGGCTGGCTTTGCAGTATCTGAGATTTGGGTTTCTGAGACAGTTGTTTGTGATTGTCAAGTTAAAATCTGGTGGTGGTTTCAAGTTGTCAAGGTCTTCAACTACTGATGCTGTAAGAATTGGAGGAATGGAGAGTGAAATTGTGAGGAAGAATACAAGAAAATTTGCAGAAATGAGAGCCATTGATAAAATTTGTCCTCTGTAAGAAATATTTTCCAGTTTCTATTTCTGTGTGAAATTCAAACGGTTTAAAGGAGGCGGCAGTTTTCATAACAGTTATAGGTAAGATAAATTTGCTACGGATTGATTTTTCAATATTTACTAAAAAACTGCATCTAAATTAGGCTTCAAATATTTGTTTATAAGTTTACTTGTAAGTAAATAAGTTTATATATATATGGAATGCTAGGGCTGAGCAATGAAACGTCAAACCACAAAATCAAATCGAAAGCGCCCCCCAAGACACATCCAAATTGGCGGAACAATCACATTGGGGGGCTCTGAAACCAAGCGTGGGGAGTTCGATTCCTGGTGGGAACCTTTGATCCAATAAAAGAGGAATTATTTGTGGATTAATCACCATGGAGGAGGCTCCCTTTGGGGAAGGAGTAAAAGCCATGTGAGAACCTGGGAACCAACAAGAACACATCCTGCGATTTACTTCCCTGAGCAGCTGAGGGGTTGGAGGTTCAGGGACGAGGATATAGTCTGGTGCAAGCTGGGACACCTCGTTAAAAAAAAAATAAAAAAGTCGAAAGCTTTTTCGAAATTTTTGTTTGGGTTCACGTGGATACGTCATTGTTTTGGTTCTGTACCAAATTGAATCATTTTGAAATAATTTGTATTAAGTTTCAATTTTTGTAAATCATTTCAAATTATCAAACCGTTTACAAAAAAAAATTTGAAAATAAATAAGTATAAATTTTATCATACATAATTAAAACTAAATACTCCTAATTAAAAAGACACATCTATATTATACATATCTCAATTAAACTCAATATTCAATGCAATTGAGTTACCAATAGTTATCTAGGAGTTACCACAATTGAGAATGCAAAACTCTCAAATTAGTTGAAAAACAGTCGTTGAATCATATTTATCAACAGACCATCATCATTGAGTAGACAATTAGGGTGTGTTTGATTACATTTATTTTCTATGGAAAATATCAATTTTCCACCCAAATTCCTACATAGAGTGTTTGATTACTATTTTTTTCATGGAAAACATTTTTCAACTTTTGAAAATATGGCTAATTTTCATTGTTTTTAAGGAAAACATTTTTCTTGAGTAGAGGTGGTTTTTATTTTCCACAAAAGATGGAAAATATTTTCTTTTTTAGGTGATATTTTTCATACCAATCAAACACACTCTTAAATCTAAATTTTAATTCAAACTCATAATTTATTTTCCTTCTTATAATCTTTTCGATTTTTGGCTCATTTCTAGATTAGTTTATCCATTTTTTAATTTTTTTGATAATTATTTGCTATATTTTATTGATCATTGTGTTGTTGCTTTTGATTTGTACTAGTCTTCCTTAAATTTTTAGTTGCTAAATAATGTTTATTTATTTATTTGCATCTTAAAATTTATAGTCGCGTCACTCAATTTAATATTTAATTTTAACTTTTTAGATTTTACTGCTAAATATTATGGTTTTATTTTGATTTCTGTCGGGCTCTTTTAAATATTTAGACGAACAATGTTTTTACAACAATTAGAACAGCTTTTTTACTTTTTATGTTTTCGATTTGCTTATTGAAATTATTCACTCGATAATTTTTTTTTCGTATAGTTGATAGTTTATTGAATCTTTATTATTATCATAGCAAGCAACCTATTTACTTTGTTCTAGTAATAAGGGTTATGTATAATTTTTTCTGCTGCAACTGTGCCTCTGAAAGTTTTGAGGTTGCTACATAACATGATTGTATTTTATTTTAGGATAATTTTAAGTGTACATAATTTAGTTTACCAAATGGTTTACCTACTCTCACAAGCATGTGGACCCCGTGTGAATAAAATAATTCCAACATGTGGTCCCTACACTTCTATTATGAGTGTATGTAAAGTATTAAGTAAAAAAAATCAGATACATCTAGCATAGTCCTTTATTTTATTTTACATATAACCCTTGTTCATTACATATAAACTAGTGTTCTAAATGGTGCTGCCAATGCGTGATACTTGGCCAAAACATCAAGCCAAGTGACTTGGTGCCTTAGATGACGAATTAGATGAAGAAGAGGATATTGAATTGAAGTCCGATAAAGAGTTCTATAAGATTTAAACTCCTATGCTACTTATTTACTATTTTGTATTTAAATTTGAAACTTATCTTTTTGTTGGAAACTTTGAAAAAATGTAAAAAGTTCTTATAAATCTGTTTTAAATGTTTAGTAAGTATTATTGTTAATTATTAAATAATTTTTTGATTTATTAAAATTTAAAATATTATTAAAATAACAAAACGCTTTTTTACACATTTTTACTCCTAAGCCTTACCTAAGCTTGCGTAGACCATAGTTTGGTCTCAATGCATCGCCACGCCTTACGTCATTTAGTACACTGATATAAACATAAAATTTTTCTTTTTTTAACTTCACATTCTCCTAAAGATCACTATTTCAAAAAATATATATTTTTTTTCTCTAAAACCTCATTAAAATGGATCGCAAACGAGGACATAATCAGGCAATGATTCGATTTTTGAAGAACAAAGTAATAATGAGCCTGGTGATAAAATTTCAAGGGACAGTGAAACTGTGAATATGTAACAAAGTAGAAAGGGTAAGAAGGGATAAAAAGGTCTAATATGTGATACAAAGAAGGATGGGAACGTAGAATATATTTAAACCGAGTTTTTAGACTTAATATCAATAATTTCATTTCTTCTATGAATGTTATTTTTTGTTTGCTAAACTGTGATTGTAAAACGAACCAAAGCACAATTTTTTTTCTAAACAGTTTTTTTAAAAAAAAACAAAAAAAAAAAAAAAAAATGGTTTTGTTTGATTTTGAAAGTGAAGTGATTTGATTTTGTTTGAAAAAAAAAAATTCAAATTTCTTTAAGCGATTTGGTTTGAAAATTTGTCATAAAATATTCAATTTGAACAATATCCACCCTATTGACAAGATCAAATCCAATGAAATAAAACCCTATAAAAAAGACGGTTTGTCGGCTACTTCATTCTATTTTTCACAAGACTTGCATCGTGAACAAATTTGTAATGTCTGAACAAATTTCTTTGTCGTGCGTGAACTAGACTGTTACATAATTTAGAGTAAATAATTATGTTCAAGTAGCATTAATCCTGAATTTATATCCCTTCGGGAGTTACATTTTAGTTGGCAGCCATTCTTTTTAGCAAAAATCAATGCACCTCTAAGCAATCGATGAAGTTTATGCATCTTCTGCAGTGAGATGTCGACCAATGTATATCATGAACTTAACATTCACTACTCAAATTCTCAGTCGACTGCACTTCAACCTCTCAAATAAATGTCTTTTGGTTGGATAATATTACAAATAAGCAGGTTATTTATTCTAAATGGGTAAAATAAAACACCTATTTTTTTACAAGTAATAAAATTATCTAAAGGTATCTGAAAATAAATTTGAATTATTTATTACTAAGTAACATTGTTTTTTTTTTTTTTAAACCTTGTTTTAAAAATACGGGAAAATTATACATGCTGCACTATCAACCTTCAATTTCATGGCACCTACATCACATGTATATGATATATTTTTGGGTAAAAAAATTCAATTAAACAAAAAAGAAATAAATAAATTACAAACAAGAAATAAAAAAGAACCAACGAACAACCAAACAAAAAAAAAAAAAAAAAAAAAAAAATTAAAAAAAAAAAAAAAAAAAAAACCAAACAAAAACCAAAAAAAAAAAAAAAAAAAAGAAAAGAAAAAAAAGCCCAACAGTGATATCCCTATTCCTGCGTTGATGGTATAATAATAATAATAATAATAATAATAATAATAATAATAATAATAATTAATTAATTAATTAATTAATTAATTAACGGTTTCTTTATCCATTTTTGCCCCAAACAATATTGTTTAAAATTAAATACGAAATTCTCAAGAATCGGAAGCAATGATGTTTGTCGTATCAAAATTAACTAATATGATCACAAGCTAAAGTAACATAACAATGTGTATCAAACATGCCATAGTGTTATTTTATTGCTTCTTTGCTTTATATAGAAACAAAATAATGTTATTATGCCTTTATTAAATACAATACTTAATTCTGAAATTATAACGACCCACCGAAATTAAGGGTTGCATTAATTCTTTCAGTTTTAAACAATTTTGTTCTTAATGTAATATATGCAAAAAAAATAAAATAAAATTAACAAAGATGCCATTCTTGCAAAGGAGGAATTTACAAGAAAGATTTTGGACAGGTAAAATTCTAACTGCCTGACTACGAAAATGTACTAAAAAAAGGAAAAAAAAGGAAATCTTGACTATGCTAGGAAAGAAATACAACAATACTAAATAAAAAAAAAAAGTAAATAAATAAATTGTCTTCCATTTCCTGTATTTAGCTTGAATATTAGTGCTCCAACTTTGGAATCAACTTCTTGCATTCCTTCAAAACCTGAGATTTAGATTCAATTCGACCATCGGTTGCTAGAGTTTCGACAAATTTCCTTGGAACCAGACATTTCTCGATCGAGTATAACTTTTCTTGAATTAACGGCGATTCGAGAAGAGCAGTCATCAAGTCTTCACTTCGATGTATCGTCGTCTCCCCATTTTTCTACAAGTACACACAGGATTAATTTCAAAATTTACCAAAATAAAACCTAATCTTGATTAAAATGATTAAGAAACTTGAATTACCTCATATGATCCCATAAATTCAAGAATCCCAACTTGAGTTTGCAAGAACTTGATATATTTATAAGCTGCTTGAAACATTTCAGCAGTGTTCATTCTTTGTCCACCCGGAATAAGCTTCCCGAGCTCCTGAGTCTTCTCGGTAATCTTCCTCCTCCGCTGCCTGGCGGCGATGCTCTGTGCCGACAAGCTCCCTCGACCATTAATCCTTTTCACACTCTCGGAACTTCCACTGTTCGGTGGAGCAGTTGGAATATCCGGAAATGGCGGCAACGTAACTTCTGTCCTGAAATCCTGAATCACACAAGGATTTGGAACAAAACCCGGATAAAATAACTCCGAGAAATTAACATCTTCATAATCAAATGTTTTTTGGCGTTTGGAGTCGATTAATTCAAAGGGTTCTGGTGCAAGGGTGTTGAGATTATCAGACGAAGGGTACACGCAATTGTAACCGTCGGATGAGTAACAAAAGCTGTGAT